CCGGGCAGCGCCGGGAGCAGCGCCGGTAACCGCCCACCGCGGGCCGGGCAGCGCCGGGAGCAGCGCCGGTAACAACGCCGGTAACCGCCCACCGCGAGCCGGCCAGCGCCGGTAACCGCCCGCCCCGGGCAGGGGAGCGCCGGCACCAGCGCCGGTAACCGCCCGCCCCGGGCAGGGGAGCGGCGTCGCGGTGCTTGGAAACCAGAGCGGGGGAAGTGGCGGCCGCCCAGAGCCGCGGTGGCGGCGGGAGGTGCGTGTGGGTCCCGTGTGGCGAGGGGAGGGGGCGGTGGTTGTCCTGCTCCGCCCCGCTCCCCTCAGCGCCCGTTGGGCGGTGGCGCCCCTGGCCCGGCCCTCACGGCCGGTCCCGCGGGTGGGATGGGGAGAATTTTGGGAAGGGCCGSCAGGGAGGGTTTGGGGGCTCGGCCCCTTACCCGAGGCCGGGCAGGAGGAGCGCGGCCTCGCAGCGGGGACAGCGCCTGCGGCCGTTGTTCTCCCTTCGAGGTATCCCAAAAAGCGGGTTCRTGTTGGCTGCTGACAGAATACCCGGTGGCCGTTTGACCCAAACTTTAATTTTTTTCAATTGGAAAATAACGTCTTCTTAGAGGTTTTAGTCGAGCTCGCTGTAGCAGCAAAATATCTCGAGGCACCTGCGGGAGTGCAGCATTGCGGCTAGATTAASTGCTGAATTACACRTTCAGCATCTATTCCAGCACAGGGKCCTGAACACCTCAGCTAGAGGGAGGGAAGTACAGTTTTCTCACTCTGTAAAGGAAAATTTACAAGTTGCGTAAGAATTCTTGCGTGCTTTTCATGGAGCAGTTGCAGCTGGATGTTAAGTCAGGTTGATGCYAATGCAGCAGAATGGGGGAGGAATAAAGCAGGTCATGGTTACGGATGGAAGAAGGGATGTGTGGGAAAACCTTCTACTTTTTGCGGCCCTCGTTGAAATTGATGAATTGCCCATGTGCCTATGAAAAGCCCATGTGTTCATACTGGATGCAGGAGCTTTGGACTTCTGAGTGAGAAAGGTTGTTAATGGATGTCTTGTTCCCTTTCTGCTTGAGAATGCAGAACTCTGAGAGTTACATGGAAAAGGCATGACTGTTTTCAGAGTCCAAGGAAAAGTTAGTAATAATCTAAAAGTTAGTAATAATCTAAAAGATCCTGACTTCTAGTTCTGCAGCAAATGGAATAATGATGCCACTAACTTAACGGCATGTATAGAATATGTAAAAGGCCACAGTGCAGAGGTCCAAAGGTTGACACATTTGCACTGTGCAGCCACAAGCCAAATCATTCAGGCTGGAAGGGACACCAGGAGGTCTCTCCTGACCTGCTACTCACAGGTCAGGAGAGGCTGGTCCAACTTGATCAGAGTTTTTGTCTTGACTGTCTTACTGGACAGCCTGTACTGCTGCTTACCTGTCCTCATGGGGAAAAAAAAAATCTAATATTCAGTCAGAATATGCTTTCAGCTTATGCGTGTTGTCTTTCCTAAATATGTCTCAGAAAAAGCAGCTCATTACTTTATGTGCAATATTCTGCTGATGTTGCAGCACTATTGCTGGTCCCTAAGCATGCTTTGCAATAGTGCTGCTGGCTCACATATCCCTTCTGATGTGTAGCTGTGCTGTATTTACCTGTGGTAAAAAGTGATCAAGCTGTGCAAAATGTATGTTTAAAATTGCAGGTCTGAACTTRGATACATTGACAAGACTGCTAGTAAACATGTTTGAGGTTTGTGTGAGGGCCAAAGATGGATAATTTGCTGTGCTCTGCTGAGGAAGTTTAAACAAGGGGGGATCCTTTTGGCTTGTTTTTATCCTCACCTTGAAAAAAGAAAAGTTTCTCATAAGTCTTCATGTGTTAATTAGGGAAGTTCAGCAAATTTTAGAAATGATTAAGTGGGTAGCATGAAGTTCTGTTTTGAGACCAGAAACTTGTTGGCTTAGCTGAAAGATTTATTCTATATTCTAAAACTGAAATGTGGCAGAATTCACAAAAATATAAGATATCGTGGGTTGGTTAAGACCATCTTTGTCTGGCAGTTGAGTGATAACTGTAATTGGTCTTGATAACATAGTTCAGCATTTCTAGGATTATTTTAAAATTGTATCAAAAGATCAAAGGTTAAAATGCACCTTCTCTTCTTGAGGGAAGGCTGTAGGAAATTAGGGAAGGTCTAGGTAGGATCAGGGACTAGTGATTAGATTTGGTGGGAACAAAGTGAAAGCATCAGAAATTTTGGAAGGGTGCTGTTTGGAAAGGTGATTCTTGGATGTCCTTGTTAGTCTGTGTATGGAGTAAAAGTGAATGGGGTCAGTTACCGTAAAATGACAGCTGTGTAAGTGAAAAGCATTTTGGATCATACACAAATACACCTGAAATGTACTGGAAGAGGAAGTTTTATCTCTTCATCTGCTTTAGGAGAAGCAGAGACCATCTGCATGACAAACCAGCTAAAGTAATGTAGGTAGGCAAGCTGTGTGCTAAAGAAGCAAGTCTGATACCTGGTTAATATATGATACGTTAGTTAGGAGCTAAGGAGTCCAGAAGGTATTGATGTGGAATTCTTTGACTGCTTGTCCTAGCATGATGATTAAGGAACAAGAAAATGGGGTTGGTAAAACTGATATTCTTCAGCAAAAGTGTTCAAAAATACACCGTAAGATTAAATGTTCAACTGCGATAAACTAAAATACTTTAAATCATCAG